AACTATATTCCTCTCACCCTCATCCACTCAGTGAATTATAAACCTCTTGCAATGGGAAAGAAAAGTCAAAGAATTAAAAGAATTCTGTGATTTTTGTCTCCATTATTGCACTTTGATATATATATATACATATGTGTGTGTGTGTGTGTATATATATATATATATATATATATATATATATATATGTGTTATTGCTTTAGCCATGTCAGCAAAATAATTAAGGCTATGAGACTAAACAAACAATATTTTAGTATGACTATATCCCATGCAATATTTGGGAAATACTTATACTTAAAAAAAAGTTTTTTGTTTATCTAAAATTCAAATTTAACTAGATGTCCTGTATCTTATAGGGCAAACCTAGTCAAAGAAAAACCTCTTCATCTTGTATACTGGAATGACTGATAGGAATAGTCAGTGTTCTTGGAAGTCAGTTCAGAAATATATAATGGACACTGTGAGGCTATTATTCCCCCAGACTGGCAAGTATGGGTCAATTCGGGTGGATGATCCTCTTGGCCAGTGTAGAGTACAAGACCATGAAGAGAACTGAGACAGAAACAAAGGAGAAAAGTAAAGTCCCTGGTGCTGTGGCCATTTGGGTCATGTAGAGGTCTGTATCTATCTTAGATTAAAGAAGGCTTCATATATATACTAATCTTCTTATGAGAGATCTATCTTTTTCCTTTGAATGTGGGAATCCATGTAACTGCTTTAACCAATAAAATAATAGTAGATGTACCACTGTACCAATTTCTGAGCCAAGGCCCTGAGAGTCTCCATTTCTACTTCCCATCACTTAGAACACTCTTTTAGGGAACCATAAGCTTCCATCCAAGAGTTCTAGTTTCCCTGACACTGTCATGCTAGAGAGGCCTTGTGTGGGAACTTGTGTTGACAGATCCAGGTAATCCCACCTTTCTGCCATCCCCATCAAGCCACATGACAGTGAAACTGTTTTGGACCCCTTGCCCCTGCCCTGGACCCACCTGAGAGTTGGATATCACCAAGTGAACTCCTTCAATACCACAGGGAACAAAAGAAACACCCAGCTAAGCCCAGCCTGAATTTCTGACCCATAACATCTGGAGGTACAATAAAATGGTTTCCTTTTTAAGCTGCCAAGTTTCCAATGGTTTTATAACACATCAATAGATAAACAGAACAATGAATAGAAACAGTGAGTTCCCTGACCCTGTGGTGACTTTGTGAAGAAAGGGAGGCTTTCAATCATGGAGTATTCAAACTTCTCCATTTGTTTGTTTGTTTGCAAGGAGATCTTGTTTGGAATGAAATCTCAACAGAACACTACAAGTAATAGAGCTCAAAGCCGAACTGCCTCAGCTGAAGCATAGCTAGGAGCTCAGAGTGACATCTTCTCTGCCCATCTCTTTTCCCAAACGCATCAGAAGCCAGGAGATGCTCTGCAGTGCAGCTGAAAAGAATTGTGAGATATAGCTGAGACCTAACCTAGGAGGCGGGTTAACAATGAGGAAATATGCAAATTTGGGACTAGATGCAGAGAACACACCATAGGAGACCAACACTATCAGTATGAGATAAAGCCAGAGTGCAGAGTGCAGTAAGAAATCCAGAGCATTTGCTATAAAAACAAAAAACAAAAAACAAAACAAAACAAAAAAAACCTTCTGTAAGTAGAGGGAGAGGCTGAGAGAATGCAGAGAGAATCTTAAAAGCCCCATAGAGGGTGTCATTGGGAATCCCAAAGGTGGATGATGCAAGAAAGGGGCTGACACTCCAACCTAAGCCACTCAGGGCCAAAGACTTTACTAATTTCTCTGTGAGGAAAGATTAAATAAGGCCACACCTGGGTTACATATGCTGTAAGTGATACTTATCTAACTTCATTATCCAGTAATTCTGTCTCCAGTTTTACTTTGGTTCTTCTCAAATAAGGTCATTTATTTTCTGAAATGTTACTCATAACATCTCTTTTTAGATATTGTTGGATGAAAATTGTCCAAACCTGGGTGGTCTCAAAAGATTATCTAGTTATCTTGGCACCTGAGGAGGGACTATATATGAGTCAACAAAGCCCCTGAGTAACAGATGCTAGTAAGAGAACAGATACCCAACAAGGGACTCACCCAGCTTGGACATTGTCAAGAAAGCCTTTCACATGCAGTCAACTGATCAGAAAACCATTGGTTTATTTAAAGTGAGGCATACCCGCATTAGAAAGGTGTTGTCCTGTTTTAGAATTAAAGTCTAGCATATTTATTCTGTAATATACTTGAAAAATAATTTTATTTAATGAATATGGATGATGATTATAATAACTTAGTCATATTACATGAACTCTTCTTCTGAGGAAGGGCAAAGCTTTTAAATAAGCCACTTCTAAAAACCATCACATCCTACTGCATGCAGCAATAATCAGAGAAGCCCTGACTTGGCAAGTTACTGTATTAACTTAATAAGCTGAGTGAATTCTGAGGTTAGCTGAGACAGGCCCCTTGGAGGACCTTACATGAGTTTTATTAGGAAACAAAGAGCACATATAAAGGTTTGGTAATATTTGTACCCTGGTATTATTCATAATATACATTCACAGTCTGCAACATTAATGTTTCCTTCAGAGCCAATAATGCTGTGTGCTGGAAAGCAGATCAGCAGTAGCTCAAATTTATTCAGAATCTATAATGCTGACTACTTGACAACAGAAAAAACAGTCATGAAATGCTATCGTGGAGCGGTCAGTTATTATAACAATAGCTCAGTGGCTTGACATTTTCAGCAGTAAAATATCTAGGCATATGAACTTTAAAAAAATCACGGCAATTTTTAGTCATGGCAGCAGAATACATTTGTAACCATGAGACTATTCATTTTCTCGCCTGTTAACCTTCCTGTTGGAGCAATTGCTCCCCTGGCTAGTTCGTTTGATGATGAAGTGATCAATTTCTGGACACGTAGCAAGTCACTGTGTGTTTGAAACTTTCCAGAGCAAGAGTGGGCAATTATTTTGACTTCAAGCACAAGTTGGTATATACGGCTAAATGCAAAGAACTCCCTGTGGGAAACTAGTACTTCTTTGCTAATGTGTCAGAACACACCAGTCAGACATAACTTAATGGTAATAGCTCAGTGAATTTTTAGAAACAGTGCTTCTGGACTGATTGACTCTATTCTTCCTCCTACATCTCTTGGATCCAGAGGGCCATAATCTCATAGAGACAGACATTCACGGTTCTGTTCAAAGACAGGATCAATTGCTGTGTTGCAGACACCTCTTCACTTTGGTCGCTTGTTCTCTCACACATGCTATGATAACCCAGGGCCACAGGGTAAGGTGGAAAGATACCAGATCTGGAGTCAAGAGCCCTAAATTTGAAATCAGTCTTCCCCTTGCATGATGGACGGTTGACATATCACTCAACACTTGGTTTCTTGGCTTCCTTGTTGAGTAAGAGTGAGGGTTATGAACCTGTACTCAGTAGTTGGACTGTCTGGGTTCTCTGTGTTTGGTTTCCCTGTCAGGGAAATGATGGTATTGATGGCTAACTCTATAGCACTTACTTTGTGCTAGGCCATTTCCTAAGTGCTTTCCATATGTATTAACTAATTTAATTCTACTCTTAGAATTTATATCACCTCTCAAAGTGTGCCCCAGTGCCCTGCTTGGGACAGAAGGATGCAAGTGGGACCTCAAGGCTGGGAATTATGATTCTTCAGTGGCATTTTTGGAGGTCCCTGGTTGGCCCTGAGGGTGGTACAAAGGCTGGTTGGCTGTGCAGTGAGTCAAGGGAGACGAGGCAGTCTTGCCGGAAGGTACCCAAAGCTTCTGTGGTCATTTTCAGAGATACCAACAAGAAGCTTTCCCTCCTACCTCACAGCTTGCCCTTCACCCCCCTCAGCCCCAAAGAGAGCCATTCTCTGCTTACACATGCCTAACCAGCTGCCTATTGCCAAGTGTCTCCTTTTCCCTTTGAAAACTGTCCTTGATATTCATTCTCACCCAATTCTACTGGTGCCTGGGTACTTGTGGGAAAGAGCAAACATACCATCAGAGACCCTTGGGTAGAGTTCAGCACTGAGACATTTCAGATCTTCTTATCTACCCAAATACACAACAGCCTTTGGCCCAGGAAGAGCAAGGGGGTGGAGTCATGCTTTTGGTTTGCAGTAGGCACGGACTTTGAAGTAATCTCTACAGTTTGACTTCATTATTTGTTTGTCTCAGTAACTTGTTTCCATGCTGCTGCCTCTGATACCTTTACATGCTAGTTTTAAAAACCCTCATGTTGCCTCAAACTACCAAAAGTTACCAAATTTGGCAGAATGTATAGCTTCCCCCAGCTCCGCTACTAAATAGATGATGTCAGGCTCCAGACTTGACTCCCTTCAACTGCTAACAATGGATTTACAAGGAGAAAGAGACCGTCAGTTTACTTCTGCTACTCTTCTCATATAGCATTTTGTGTCAGGGCTTTAATCCCCTCCCTGCTCGACACCCACCCCCACCCCCACCCCCAATAGGCTTGCTTCCTGGTCTGAGGAAAATTGACTTTTATAGTTCATCTGCCTTTCCCTGATCCTCCACTGACCCTTCAGTCCATGTTGAGCAACAGAACTTCTAGAAATTTCCATGGATTTTCAGGATTTGGAGCATTTTGGAGAAGTGGGAGGTAAACTGAGGTCTGGACAGGTACCTGTTTGTTTCCTTGCTTGCCTATGCATGCAGAAGATAATCTGATGCCTATCTTCAAAGAAGTGTTCACCCAATCACAGAGTGTTGGGTTAGCAAAGACACTTTCTAGTGGGACAAGTTCCTATAATTTTTAACCTTTGGCTCCCAGAGTACATTGTCACTAAGGGATTGAACTCTGAGGTCAATGCTTTATGTTGTTTCTTATAACAAGGGACATTTTGTTAATAGTTGTAGCTTATTACAGTAAGTGATCTGGTTACAAGTATCAGGAGCCACAAAGAGAAATAAACCACAGTACCACACTTCATTTTTCATTTTTGTTTTTCAGATGCATGACTGGAGAAAATGAGATGATTCCTTTTATATTTTTCTTTTTAATTTTTTTCTTTACAATCCAGGCCTTCATTGCCTGTTGGTACCTGTTCAACACCAACAGCCAACAATTACCACTCTTTTTTCTGGCTCGAGTACTTATTTTTTTAGCTTTTTTTGGTTGTCGTTGTTAAGGAACTGTGTTTATAGTTCACATTTTAGAGTTGCAAGGAACCGTAAAGGTCATAGAGTTGAACCATCCAATTTGACCATGAAGAAATTGAGGCTCTGAAGTGAAGTGCTTCATTCCAGTTTCTACAGCTCATCTCTAGCAGAGGTGAGAGAGGACCCTCACTCCAGACGAGGTGCTCTTTTCTACGCACGTTGTTATCCCCCTTTCTATTTTCCCACCTATTTATAGTACCCTTCCTCTGGGCTCTCTAAGACATAAGATTATAGGACATACAGTTCCAAGAATCCCTGTTTATGTTTTGTTAGCAGATGGCCTTCAAATACTAACCTTTGGTTGCCTAAAGAATAGCCCATATCTTATTGATAGAAGTTCTTTATGCTGATCTTTATTTAATTCACTGTTTCCCAGGATCCTCATCCTTTCCAGCTGGTTATTAATTATCAGGCAATATCCTCTTGAGCTGTCTCTATTTTTAATTACCTTATTAATTGTATTCACAAAAATTGATCTCTCTGACATTCTAAGTCTGACTCACTGAGGAAATAAGTCTAATATTCGCAAGAGACTTCAACAATCTCACTACCTTAACTTATTATTTCCATTATGCAGACTGTTATCACTAGAAGCCAGATGTGACTGCCTAGTTGAATGGGCCTTTATCCTAATCATAATTACAATGTTCTTTAAGGATTCTCTGTGGCTCACCTTTCTTGCTTACTCAGACACACATGATACTTATCAGTTCATTTCTACCCTACCTTCACTCTTTAATCTTTAACATAGAAGGAATTTCCTCCCTCATATTATCCTTGTGGTAATCTTTTATTTGCAATTCAAAGTAATTACGGTGAGTAAAGATGAATGTATTTTTTAGTTCTTCATTTTTTACTGTAACACTGCACCCTAAGGGCCTGATGACCAATTAAACATTTAAAAACAACTTTTTTGTCAAGTTTTTATATACAAAGATCATTTCTTAATGTGTGCTATTTAAGGACTCTTTTTTCCTTCACAACAAGGTATGCTACTGTTAACCCCATCTTTTTGACCAGATTCCACTTAACTTTTATGAAGTGACAAGAGTAAACAGGTTCTTTGTTTGTTTGTTTGTTTTTGAGAGAGACAGAGACAGTGTGAGTGTGGGAGGGCAGAGACAGGAGAGAGGGAGACAGAGAATGCCAAGCAGGTGAAGGCTGTTGCGGGGCTTGACCACTCAAACCTGTGAGATCATGTCATGAGGCTAAAACAAGAGTGAAAGGCTTGATCAACTGAGCCACCCAGGTCCCCAAGAGTAAACAGGTTCTCACATATAAGTTGGCCATTGTTTCATATGATCCTTTATTTGCATTAGAAATGGTTGACCAGTAGAAAATTAGAGCTGAAGACTAGAATCTCTATGAAAAACATATATATGTTAAAGAGATAATTCCTATACAGTTTATTTGTGGTTGGCAGCAAGTCAGCTCCCATCTTTTAAAAAGAGTAATATAAATTCAAAATGCCAGTGTTTTTCATGATGAGAAAAATGACCACCTGGATGCCACCAATGGGCAGATTTTGTTTTTGCTGGGGGTACAATTTTCCAATTTGATGAGTTACATAACTGGGTCTCTCCGTGTTATCTAAAGCCTGCAGAACATTGACTGGGGTTCTACAGATACCACTATCTCAAACTACTCCTGACTGAATGCATCTTTTCACTGCCTTGCCCAGTCACTCGTCCCACCCATCCCAACAACCTGGATGTGATCCTCCTGACTCTTCCTCTCTCCCTATCACCTGCCAAGATGCTTCCTCTAATAGTAAAGTTCACTTCTGTTGACTGGCTTTTTTTATTATGTATCTTCAACCCATTTCTTCTAGTGCTGCTGCTTCAGCTCAGCTCCTCATCCTTTCTTTCTCAATCTATTGCAATAATCTTCCTTCTTTCCTTCCTTCCTTTCTTCCCTCCCTCCTTCCTCTCTCCCTTCATCTCTTTCTTTCTTTCTCTCTTTCTTTCTTTTTCTTTCTTTCATCTTTCTATTTAAATCCAAGTTAGTTAACATATGGTGTAGTAATAGTTTCTGGAGTAGAAGTTAGTGATTCATCACTTACATATAATACCCAGTGCTCATCACATTTAAAATAGAAAGATGAAAGAAAGAGAGAAAAAAATAATTTTTTTCTTTTTCCAGCATCTGGCTCATTATCTAGCACACAGTAGATTCCCAGTGAATATTATTCAGATGAATGAAGGAATCTATGATCTGTTGAAATTCCTTCAAGTTATGTTCCTATATAATTCATGATTTTATACTTACGTTCAGTTTGATCCAAAAGTCTAGGGCCAATTTGATGCCCAACCAGTGTTTTTGTCAGCCTGCCTATGAGCCTGCTCTTTCTCTGAAACAGCTGAGAATGAGGTAGAAGAGAAGCATTCATCCTGTTGTAACAATAGTGTGTCATCCAACGCAGCTTAGTATAATGGGTAAAGCAACAGTTTTGGAGTGAAACTGACCTCAGTTTAAATTTTGATTTTACCCCTTATTCCATGTGTGACTTTGGGCGAGGTTCACTGATTTTTCTGAGCCTCAAAGTTGTCATCTGTAAATGGCAATAATGGTAACACTTGCCTTCCAAAGTTATTATGAAGATTAAATCAGGTAACATTTATAAAACACTTAATCATAGTCCTTGGCATCTAGTAAATTCTCAGTAAATGACAGCTGTTATCGTTATCAGTCCTTTTATTATATAAGCCTCTGTAGTGTATAAGTGGGGAAGGAAGTGTATAACTGCTTTCCTGTCATCAAGGGGCTTCTTTTTTCAAAGATAAGTGTACTACCAGGGTTCTTAATCCAAACCTGAGAACATAGGCAACTATTTCAGTAACTGTTTTCTCAATTGTCCCAAGGATGGGTACTAACTAGTGCCATGCTTTGCCTAGGAGAGATGTCAATTCATTATACAAAGTATGCTTTAGGGCATTAATTCTTTTTCTTTGAGAATGGTACAGTGATTCCCACATTCTGGCCTAAACTTAGTGGGTTCAGGCAGGAAAAGTATTTCTAGAAACAGTTATGAAGTTTATAAGACATTTAGGGACAAACAAAATAAAAGAGAAAGTTTTCTTTATATGGATCCCTTTAACTGCTTTGTGCCTCTAAGGGAGAGGAAACAATTTTGTGGTCAAAAGCCCACTGAACTACAAGTTGGAAGACTGATTTAACAACTTACTCCAGGAATAGCTAAGGATGGTTGCTTACATAGGTACGGAGAGCTTCTATATCTTTATGATGAGGATAAGACCCATCCTGTTGACCCTACCAATTCTTGAGCATTTTAAATCACATCACATACTTGAAAGTATACAGTTTATAAAGTGCTATACAGACCTAAGTTATTATGAAGACGATCATTCTGCTTTCCTGCCATCCTGCTTCCTTCACCAGATGACACTAATCAGCCCGGAAGTCTATGAGCAACTCAACTGTTTCAGAAGTGAGGAAATGAGTGGCTTTAGTTAAAATTGCCCAACTTTTATCTGGTCTTTTCCTGTCTTTCGTTCTTGTGCTGCTGAGCTTCCCTTGGCCTTTTTATTGACTATTAAAGATTTATTCATGTGATACCAATTTCTATTTCTAACTGCTTTTCTGAAAATTGTTAAAAACTCAAAGCATCTGTCATCTCTGTCAGGCCACTTAACCAACCTCTCAGACCACAGGGAATAGCCCAGAAAGCCTAGATGAGCCTTTTAATGTGCTGAATGGAGTCATCTTTTGATTTGTCTTTGCAGGTTGGAAACATGAGTGAATTTCACTATTATTTCCTTTTTTTGGATGTGAAATACCTACTTTAAAAAATGGAGTCTTTATTTGCTACTAGATTTCTCTTCTGGACATTTGTGTACTTCTCTATTCAGAGCATCAGAAACCAAGGTAGATTCCAGGCCAATTATCTTAATGGAAGCAAGTTAACATTTTACCAATGTTTATCACTAACCCACTACTGGAGGAAAAGTTATATTACCTCCAACAGCATTCCAAACCCTCTAACTTAAGACTAGAGTTAGCTTTTACCTATACCCAGAAATAATTTGGTTCTCTATTTCTAGCCAAATTGTTCTATACACACTAACTCTCAAACATGCCATTTTCTGCTCCTTCTTTTTTGCTTCTCCTGGCTCTCCTCTTGGTACCCTTTACCTTTTCTCTCTCACTGTGGTAAGATGAAACCAAACAAGAAGCCATCAATTAAAACTCTGCCTCCTTAATGTTTCCTCGTTCCCCCCGATCCCATTTGAGATCCTTTTTCTCTTTCCCCAATACTAATTATTGATCATATTATACATTTTAGGAATTGTTGCTAAAAGCTTATCTGTATTTTATTTGGTAACTTTTAAAAATAGCTTCATGAGTTCTTTTTCTCCAACCCAAATGGTAAGAACAATATCTTATTGGTACAGAATTTTACCTAGACTTGTAATTGTTATCCAAATTTATTATTTTTACTATTTACTTTACATTATTAATAATATTTTTTTTAATTTTTTAATGATTATTTATTTTTGAGAGAGAGAGACAGAGGCAAGCAGGGGAGGGGCAGAGAGAGAGGGAGACACAGAACCCGAAGCAGGCTCCAGGCCCTGAGCTGTCCACACAGAGCCTGATGTGGGCTCAAACCCACAAACTGTGAGATCATGAACTGAGTCAAAGTCTGGCACTTAACCAACTGAGACACCCAGGTGCTGTATTATTAACATTATTATTAATAATACCCATGGATTCACTGATAATAACTGAGGGTCCAGTGGAGAGTATGAATTCTCCTTGGACTCACACCTGTGGGAGTACAACTGGCCTCACTATTGCACTAATAGGAGAAATGTTCAGAAACAATGTGACATGTGTATGATTAAATTGGTGAAAGCTGTGAATTTTAAAATTGTATGAATGTCAGCATATTATCTCTTTTAGTATTTTGACTCAACCACAAAGCTTTCTCTTATTAGGTGACTTCAACTTATTATGAAACGGAATCAATCCCCTTCTGGCTCCCTCAGGAAAAACCTGAACAAACAGATGGGCCTTCCTTGGAATGTCGGCCAACAAGAACCCTGCGTCTGCTGACAGAGGTTGTAAATTTTACTGGTGGCCCCTCTAGAACATAGGCTCCACTGCCTAGTTACCCTGGGGAGCTGCAGTTAAAAATAACAAAGCCAGAGCCTATCTTTATTGTGCTGTTGCCCTTCTTTAAGAGGCCCAGTAACCAGAAATGCTAACACTGTAAGTTGAGGTCTAGTCTTCATGCCCCTGAAATTTTCTGCTCCCAACAATAGCTGCAGTGGTTACTGTCAAGGTTTAACAATTTCAACTACATCAAACTAAAAAGCTTCTGCACAGTAAAGGAAAACTATCAATGGAATGAAAAGGCAACCCACAGAATGTGAGAAAATATTTGTAAATCATGTATGTGATAAGGAGCTCATATCCCTAATACATAAAGAACTCATACAACTCAATAGCAAAAAAAAAAAAAAAAAAAAAAAAAAAAAAAAAAAAAAAA